GACAAAGTGAAGTTTTGTGTGTTGGTGATTTCTTTTTCTACTATAAATGCCTCTGATGATGGCTCCGTGGTGAGCCGAAACATGTAAGGCAGGTGGTGACGAGGTGGAAAACTTAAAAAAGTGTCACATTTGACGGAAGGAATTTGATTGTTATTGTAGCGTGTTATGTGTCTCACGCTACAAATAACTTCACGCGCAGCTCTGGTATAGCTAATTTATTCCTTTCGCTCACTTACACACACTTTACAATCATTTTCACCTGCAGTGTTACAAATACTCCTTACAATAACTCGGCGATGCTGGACTGGCTTCTCTGGCGGTTTATAGCAGACTCCCTTCTGCAGCGGATATCCCAAGACTGACTCTTTTGGCGGTTATTCCAGGACTCCCTTCTTCGAAGACTATTCTGAGACTGACTGCTCCTCGTTGAAGCCGGGCTATTTATAACCTTGGCCGCTGCTAGGCAAATGAATCCTCTGTTATAGCAGTGGAGACATTGCTTTGTTGGTTCAGCGTTTCCTATGCAATGACCCATTGTTATTGCGTTGTCTCTGTGGGAACGCTACGCGTATTTGTTGTAACCATGGAGATTTGATGTTCTCGATACAACGGCTCACTGATGGAATTACAGTATCGCTATTGTTACTTCTTATGCAACGGTCTGTTCTAGAGTTTCCATAGAAGTGACTCTTCTGGATTCCAGACATGTTACAATATTATGTTATAACATCCACAATCTAATTATTCTTATTTGGCATAAGGAAAAATTGCCTGATCATTGGAAGGAGTCTGTTATTGTACTAGTTCACAATAAGAGTGATAAAACTGACTGCAGTAATTATTTGGGATATCACTGCTATCAACTTCATACAAAATTTTGTTCAATATTCTTCCCTCAAGGTTAAGTCCATATATATAGATGAAATTATTGGGGATCATCAGTGTGGGTTTTGACGTAACAGATCAACTAAAGATCAGATCTTTGGGAATACAGTGAGACAGTACATCAGCTATTCATAGACTTCAAGAAAGACTATGATTCAGTTAGGAGGGAAGTATTGTACAATATCCTATTAGAGTTTGGGATACCCATGAAACTAGTTAGGTCGATTAAAATGTGTTTAAACGAAACGTATAGTAAAGTCCGTGTAGGTAAACACTGTCTGATAAATGTCCTATCCAGAATGGTCTAAAACAAGGAGATGTTTTATCGCCACTCTTTTTCAACTTTGCTTTAGACTATGCCATTAGGAAGGCGCAGAGAAACCAGGTGGGACTGAAATTAAACGGGACACTTTAGCTGTTGGCCTGTGCCCATGATGTGAATCTACTTGGTGATAATATAGATACCATAAAGAAAAACACACAAACTTTAATTGACGCAAGTATTGAGGTTGGTCTAGAAGTAAACACAGAGAAAACTAAGTATATGTTGCTGTCTCGTCACAAAAATGCAGGCAAAATCACNCCCATGAAACTAGTTAGGTCGATTAAAATGTGTTTAAACGAAACGTATAGTAAAGTCCGTGTAGGTAAACACTGTCTGATAAATGTCCTATCCAGAATGGTCTAAAACAAGGAGATGTTTTATCGCCACTCTTTTTCAACTTTGCTTTAGACTATGCCATTAGGAAGGCGCAGAGAAACCAGGTGGGACTGAAATTAAACGGGACACTTTAGCTGTTGGCCTGTGCCCATGATGTGAATCTACTTGGTGATAATATAGATACCATAAAGAAAAACACACAAACTTTAATTGACGCAAGTATTGAGGTTGGTCTAGAAGTAAACACANAGAGGTCGGAGAAAACTGCACAATGAGGAGCTTCTGAACTTGTACTCTTCTCCAAGTATAATTAGAATGATCAAGTCAAGGAGGGTGTGGTGGGCAGGGCATGTAGCACGAATGGGGGAAACGAATGCGTATAGGATATTGGTGGGAAAGCCAGAAGGAAAGAGACCACTGGGAAGACCAACGCGTAGGTGGGTGGACAATATTAAAATGGATCTTAGAGAGGTAGGATGGGATGGGATGGATTGGATTGATCTGGCTCAGGATAGGGGCCACTGGAGGCTTCTTGTCAACACGGTAACGAGTAAGTAAGTAAGCACCAGGTGGACGTTGAGTGGTTACCTTCACGCAACCCAGAAAATGGGGGTGGCTATGCTTGGAGCCACCAGTCATCATGCCTATGGCCTGTCACTTTACTCCAACTGAGCTCTCCCAGCACATATTAATCTTTCATATTTATGTAATATTGCGTGACCCACGCATCTTCAGAACTTTGCTGCCATGCTGTCCACCACATTAACACTGCCAACTGTAGAAGTTATTTATAGAAAAGAACATAAAGCCTAACCTTGTGTCATTGTTGAATGGAAATTCTAAGGTTAGCAGTGCTAATGTGGTGAAGAGCATGGGGATACATTTTAAATTCCTTGGGTCACCCACTGATATGAAAGTAACCGTATTTTGATATGCTTCAAATGTTTAAGTGGTGATCAATTAGACTAATTGGCAAGACACTTGCTACCTGCATAACTGTGAAGTTTACAAACATCTATAGAATTTCTATGAATTCCCATGAGTAATTTGGTACATCACTGTTGTTGTTAGATTTGCTGGTTACTAACTGCTAGCTTTTGCAGCTTATCTAGCAATGTTTGTTTTATATTGTGAAGGTAACTTTGATATTTGGATAACAGAAGTAACATTAAATATCGTTATGTTGCCTTACAGAAGCCATAGATGCTATTTTACTGCACTCTGCTACACCATCATCTCTGCTAGAGCATGACGGAATGCCAAGGAAGATTCTTTTCAGATATCTCCACAGCAAACAAATCTCCGCAGTCAATGCAAACAAAGCAACTATGATCACCAAGATTCTCCAGATGTGGAATGGTACTCTTCATCATAATCAGGTAATAATCTCTTTTCTAGACTTTCATTAGCACAGTGGACAGAGCTTAATTCATAACAATAACAAAAGGAAGAAGACTGCAGCTGTTCAACATTGTTTGTCAATGTCGAGTTGAAATCTATACATAAAATAGGAAGGGAACAGAAAGGAAACGTTAAAATTAAGTAATATAAAGTACATACTTTGACTGTCTACAATTCCTTTGAGAAAATCATCAACAAAAACCATCTTTTCCCATTCTCTTAGCAATTTCCTGTTTTCTGCAGCATCAGAGCACCATCAACATGGGCATGTAAATACACAGGTTTTCAAATGTACACTATGTTCATGCTGTCATGTTTAAGTTGTAGTCTGTTTGGAAATGTTATTTTTTCTTCAATATATCTATCACAGTTTCTTTTACTTACATTCCAGATATATTTGATATACAAATTTCCAGTCCCCAAAGATTTGTTGTGACTGACTGTGGCATGTCAGGAATGCCCAAGGGAATGGTGGTGCACAATGATCTAGAAACAGCAGTTTTTTTTCCAGTTTTTGGCTGCCATTCGTTCCAAACATGTCTGCAACTCCATGAACAGAGCACATTTATCAATGCATTGCCATTATTACTGTACATACGTAGGTCATTTCAAAAATAATCCACACAAATTTTTGTTTACGTCCATTGTTTTTTTTTTTTAATATCTCTCTATAGTCCTTCAATATAGTCCCCCTGCTTCTCAATGACCGAGTCCCAACGTCTGGGAAGCTTTACTATTCCATCCAGGACACCATCATTGTTTATCTGTCAAATGGCTCGGGTACTGCAGCAGAAAGCTCTTCCAGAGAGGGAAAACGATGGCCTCGCATAGGTTGTTTCAACTTTAGGAATAAGTCAAAGCCTGGTGGACTCATGTCCAGGCTGTAGGGAGCATGAGGCAACACCTCCCAACCGTATTGGCGCAGATTTTCTGTTACGACATTCCCGATGTGCGGGCGAGCATTGTCATGGAGAATGATCAGCCCAGCCTCGAGCAACTGAGGTCGGTTTTTGTGCATTTTTCTGCGCAGATCTTGCATAAAGTCACGATACTAAACTGCTGTGACACTTTTCCCGCACGGAACTCTGTCTGTCATGATGATTCCTTGGCGATCATAAGCAAAGTTCATCATTTGTTTGACCTTTGACTGAGATCGTCAACATTTTTTTGGTCGTGGGGAAGATGGACCTCTCCACTCACTGGACTGTGATTTCAGCTCCGGCGAACTTCACTTAAGACACTGTGGATTTCTGTCGGGGTTTTATCCACATAAAGTTTCGATCTTAATGTATGACCTCTGATCTTCAACGGTCACAATACCCGAGAACCGTGCAGGCTCCATTTCAAACTCAAGTTATTTAAGAACAGAGTACATAATAAATTAAACAAAATAACACGCTTCTTTCTCAAGCCCTGAACTGTAACTGACGTGAGGCTCACTGTTGTTGCGTCATCTAGTCCGCAGTGTTGCCAACCTGTGCATTATTTATGAAATGACCCACGTATTTGGCAGGAACTTCAAATGCTTCAAGCATCTTGGCTTCTCTGACTGTCCAGTTACTAGCAATGGCATCTTTTCAGATCCATCCATATTTGCACATAGAAGCACAGTAATACTGTCTTTAATTGTCATGCACCATGACAGCTTTAATCTTTGAAACCACATGTTTTGTCTGAGAGTAAGTTGAAAAAACAACCCACACTGATCTGTATTAAATATATCCTGTGGATGGTATTCACTTAGAAGTAAGATTGTAGCTGTATCTACAGATCTGTCAGGCTTGTATCTCTGCACACACGCACACACACACACACACACACACACACCTTGAAATGTAGTGTTAATCAAAATATGCCACATTGTTCTTTATATTCAAATATTTATTTACCTCATTTCCTCTGGTAAGTTGAAATCAACACGTGTTTTTGCAAAGAATAATATTATTCTTAGTTGGTTCAATCTTTTTTAACGTAATAAATGCCCATTCACATGAGTGAATTCGATTATTTGTTAATCACAGTCCAAAGAACTTCTGCAGTCTATAATCATGCACTCTCTGCTGGATAT